ATTTTAGTTACTACCAGTAAAATAGTTGCTTGTTTAATCATCTGGGAATTTACCCAGATTTATTTATTTATTTAGACAGAGATCTTGATCTTGATCTGGTCTAATAGATATATTAGACAGGGTTTTGAATATGGAGATTCGTGGAGGTAGTGAAAGACGACAGGCAGAGGTTGGTGTGACGGAGGAGAATGAGAGGGATATTGTGAGATGGAGGCAGATGATCCACTGTGGCAACCCATAAGGAAGCAGCTGAAACATGAACAGTGTTTATTTAACATGAAAAAGGCTTTTTTTTTTCTTTTCTTTTTTTTTTAAAGAGTAATTGTTAATTAGTATATACGAGCTTTAATTTGCATCATATTTGCTATATCAAATATTCACACTGATGATGTAGAAGTCTCAAAATCTCAAGTATCAAATCCAATAATCCCATCCGGAGCTTAGTGTTTTTCACTTCCACTTGCTGGCAGCCTTTGAGCCCTTGAAACAACTTGGTTGAGATATGGAAAAGATCGTGGACAGGCCTGTTGGCACAGCAACCCTGCTACTTACAAATGATGCACTGGGATGATGATCGCTCTCACTTATATCATGATGCAGTGCGTCACAGCACACAGGCCAACTGAAACCCTGTGTTTAAATTAGCCACGCCAGCGGCTTTGACAAAGCATAACTAATTGACGCCGCAGGGACTGGAACATGTTGATGATAACACTAGCCACATAGGAGAAGAGTTTTTTTGAAAGTATTTTTGAATATGTTTTGTTCATTTTTTGGTTCCAGATATTTTTAAATATATTTTTTTTAAATATGTGTATCTCTAATGTTGTAGGGACAAACATTCACAGTCATGCAGTGGAGATCTGTTTCCTTTTCTTGGGACAAAAATAAGTCGTTACAGTATTTTGCATCACACTTTACGTTGAAGATGTGGGTTGTGGTCAGGAAATGATTTAAGGATTAAGAAAGTCAGTTCCAGTTACAGCTGCCTGGGAAATCCACTCTTCAGTACTCTGACCTTTCATCATCATATCTTGCATTTTCCTCAAGCCATTCCAGTTAAATTAACAGATATATCCTCCCATTACATCAGCTACTTCAGTGACAATGAAACAAAAAAAGAATTGCAGTCCTGAACAATATCCAAACAGTTTCCTTCCTTGCCTTTTGCCTCATCCTCTCCATCTGAGCCATTCAGCGCTGGACTTTGTTCCTCGCAAAGGGAAACTCTATCTGATACGATCATGGGAAATCCTGCTTTGAGCCTTTGGACGCCCGACAAACAGCATTTGTTTAAGCATTTAATGATGCAGCAGGGATACACGGGGCAGTGCAAGAAGCTATAAAAGGTCTTGTGCACTACTTTGTCTCTGGCGGAGAGCTTCTAGACCTACTCCTTTTATGGTAGCTAACCTTCCCTCTGGTCCGAAAGCAGACCCTTAGTCAGTTTCCTTTGTTTGTTGACTGGTCAACCAAATCCTTCCCCTCTAAAAGACAAGATGAAACAAAGGGTGGCTTTCATATGGAATCGTATGTAGAATTTCTATAAGTTTTCTCAATGTGCACTACACAGAGTTGCTTCATTTTCTCTCATCAGTCAACAGACACTGTAGATTCCACTTTTTTATATGAAAAAACCCTCCACTTGCTACCATTTGTCTTCAACTCAGAGCTGTAAGCTGCCTCCTCAGAACTGTTTAGCTAAAATGAACATACAATGTCAAAAAGGACATAAAAAGGTCATGCAGGGACATGGGGGTGGGGCTTGCACAGGATGAACTGGAGACACTAAGACAAACATTTGAGGATCCACAGATATCCAATCTGGAGCTTCACACCTGCTGGGACATTTCCACCAATTAAAGAAACTCCCACAGAATAACCTTTAACTCCATTGTGTGGGTGATATGGATAAAACTATACGCATCTTCACATATTCACATATCTATGTGAACTATCATGAATATCATGTTAATTCTACACTGCCAAAACAAATTAGAAATCAGTGAAAATACCGATGTGGCAGTAAGGATGGACTCAACCACACTTCAACGCTTTTCATCATCTTTATTTATAGTTGCTTGTTCCTTACACACCACCACCAACAACAACAACGCCATTCAGGACCCAGTTCACTCTTACAAGCAGGGGAGGCATGATGAGCTAATGCAGCTCAGATGTGTCAGCGTCTTCCGCTGCCACACCACGAACCACGCCCCACTGCAGCTGACTTCAGAAATATAACCGCATCACAGACAGGAGAGCTCTAATTTGTCTTAATTTGTCATGTACTTGGTACATAACAAAAGTATATAGTTGAAGGGAAAGTTGGACAGGACATAAGTAATCAATGGAGGAATGGCCTACCTCTGAATCTCCTGTAAAAAATATGTATACAACTGCCAGCCACTTCTTTAGGTACGCCTGTTCAACAGCTTGTTTATGCAAATATCCAATCAGCCAGTCACATGACAGCAGAACAACAGTTGTCTCAAGGTGTTTTATATTGTAAGGGAAAGACCCTACTATAGTAAAGAGAAAACTCCAACAATTCAGACAATCCCCTGTGAGCAAGGAGGTCAGGAGATAAGGGAGAAGGACAAACCTTTCTCTCCTGTTACTGGAGTTACTGGTGTGCTTTATTAGATACTAAACTGTTTTGCTTTATTCAGAAAATCTGAACAAAATGTGTGCTGTGTGAGAGTGGTTGTCACTGCCATAGCTGAAAACAAATGAACCCATCAATGAACTGTTACAGAATGGACAGACATGTAGACAAGGCGAAGACGACTTGCTAAATTTTAAAACAACTAACCGATCGGGGAAGAGTATAGTTGCAGGCTGTCATAAGAAGCCTTGATCTGTGGGTGAAAGGCAGCCGTCGTGTCTGCCTTACCTGGGCGGAGGCTACTCATCACCAGTCAACGGCAATATTTAAGGACCAGTGCAGCCATCCAGACTCCACCAGATTATCACTCTCTTAGAGCGGTAAACAGGCTAGTTGTTGGGGATACCATGTCAAGTGTGTAATTCTGTTTCTCCTCCTTTCTCTAGTGACTTAGCCAAGCCCGCATCACTCCCTGACATTCACCTTTTCAGGAACACCTGCTATTACTACAGATCAAACCACTGGATCACCACTCCTGCTCCTCCTGCCTCCCACCCTCACCTCAGTAACTCGCGGATCTAAGGCTCTCTGCACCTCTGCCCCCTCCCCCACATGTTTGCACTGAGTAGGAGATGCTCCGTATGTCATTGTACATCTGTATAGTGACAACAAAGGCATTCTATTCTATTCTATTCTATTCTTTTCTATTCTATTCTATTCTATTCTGAAGCTTATTCTACATCTCCCTGTCTTGCCTGAATCCTGCTCTTGAGTCCAACTAAGTAAGTTGCAAAACATGACAGCTGACCATGTTCATCCCTTTATCACCACACTCTAGCATCTTCTGATGGCTGTTTTCAGCAGGATAACGCACCTTGTCACAAAGCTGAACTCATCTCAAACTGGTTTCTTGAACATGACAATGAGTTAACTGTGCTTAAAAGTCATTTTTTGTCACCAGATCTCAATCCAATAGAGCAGATATGGGATGTGTTGCAGTAAGAGAGCCTTATCATGGATGTAGAGCAACTGTGTAATGCTACGATGTCAATATGGACCAAAATCTCAGAGCAATGTTTCCAGCAACTCGATGAATCTATGCCACATAGACTTAAAGCAGTTCTGGAGGCAAAACAAAAGGTGGTCCAGCCCAGCACTAATGATGATAATGGTTGTATTTTTTCAAACAAAGTCCATCATGTCAATGTTTGTCAAAGGCATAACAGAACCTAGCACCCAACTTTGAGCATGCCTTCCAAAGTGTTTATATATTCTTTGTTTAGTGAAATTACAAAAAGTCATGTGTGGATGATGTGCAGTTTGCTAACCATCACTCCAACCTCTGTCTGTCTCCCACCTACATCAAATAGATGAGATGCTACTTGCTGAATGGAAGTTATGACTGCAGAATCATCTAGTATGCGAATGAATGAGAAATAGAATCCTTTTAATTATACCAACAATGGACTATTTTGTAACACTTGTTCACATAGTTTACCCCAGCAGACCGCAGCATAATCACTCTGGTGACCACACACTGTTGTAAAACATCAACAGAAGCTGCCTTTTTTCTGCTCCTGCGTAGTGATTCAT